CTAAATGATTTTATTATATAACAATAATTATATTTTTCATTATTTTTTTTTATATAATCATTTCGAATTCATATTTTATGTAATAATTATTGCAATAATCTTTCAATTAAGTAGTTTTTTATATTTGTTAAATATATTTTCTATCAAACAAATGTAAAAAATTAAACTATTTTTACTAAAATTCAAAATTTCCTTTTACTCGTATAGTGAAACAATTTTCCTCATATAAACTAATATGCAGAATTTTTCTTACAATTTATTTTCCTCGTTATGCGTAGTTCCATTGTAGATGATTTTTATCATTAAAACCTTATGATTCATTATATATAAGAAATATTGTCAATATTTCATTATATATTGTAAATGATTGTCAATAGTTTTTGACGCTTTTTTTAAGAAGTTTTCACGTATTAGTCATACACAAATATATGTTTTTTAATAGATTGTGAAGTAAAGTGTATACATTAATTTCTTTAATACAAAATAATAATTAACTTTGTCTAGGAAATTAAATTTGAAAAAGGACAAACAATAACAAATGTTTATTATCAAAATACGATAAAACAAAACCAAATGTTTTCAATTAAGTACAAAACTAGTGCATACATTTTTTTCGAATTATTATCAACAGATTAACGATAATATACAACAACAAGAATCAAACAATACAAAAAAAATATTTTTTAATTGCAAAAATTGTAACAGTTTTAATCGTAAGAACAATTTAATTATAATATTCGTTAATAATTAACATAAGGAAATACTAATGTTAATTAACATTAACGTGTTTGAATCTTGTTACGGCCTAGTTCACAGTTTAAATGAGTTTTGAATGCATTTTATTCTGTGGTTTATCATTACCGTCGGAAAGCGTAGAATAATTAATGAATTTACAGTTACAAAAAAAACATTTAATTGGTATAGAGAAGAAAATAAACTTATATAAAGATGTAATTTTCCACATATCAATATTTACTTATCATTAAATATTAAGATTATTATCATTAAATAAGAATTTCATTTAATAATTTTAATTACCTTCAACCCCTAAATAACATGGTTACTTTGTTACGTGCTATTAAAAACCGTGTTATTCGATAATCCAAATCCATGTATAAATGGAAAAAACTTTCAACAGTAATACTATTAAGAAATGTGTAAAACATTTACCTGATAGAAATAGTAAAATTGAATTACATTTTACTTAATAATCCAGATTCATATAGAAATAAAAATAAAAAAGATTGTTCAACTTCGAAAAGATATTAAAGAATTTTATTAAGAATTGTAAAAAAAAAGAAATTGTTTCAAAGAAACAGGGCTAATCATAATTTTGTAAGATGATAAACTATACGTATAAAGATTTTACTTAACGGCGAAAAGTAATGTTTTTGGGAATTGTGAAAAAGTATATTTCAAAGAAATCGTGTTATTCAAGGATTGTCGCACTTTTGAAACATGTTATTCTATAATCCAAATTCATATATAAATAAATGTAAAAATTTTACACATTGGCAAAAATAATTGTAAAAATTACTTAAAGGAATTGTACAATTGAATTATCGTGTTAAATAATGTTTATCGCAATTTTGCATCGTGTTATTTTATACTCCAGATCCATATATAAATAAAAATATAGATTTGGATCAACGGCGAACAGTAATGGTGTTAAGAATTGTGAAACGTTTACTTCAAAGAAATCGTGTAATTGAATTATCGTGTTAAAGAAGGTTTGATGGAATTTTTTGCCGTGTTATTTGAGATACAGTATAAGTCAAGTATCGTGTTATTAGAAGATATATTAAAAACGTATATTATTATGAAACGTTAATATACTTTACACTAAATAAGTTATAATGAATCAAATCTTTAAGATCATCACATTTTATAACTGAAATCACAATGTCAGAACAAAATGTTTTTTTTGTAGAATTAAATTGAAATTGTACTTTGAACATCTCGGGATTTCAACCATGAAATGTCAACGTATCTCACAAGAAAACCTGACGACGGTAAGGATTCCACGGGGAATTCCTTTCTCGAGTTTTACTTCCAAGAACTCTTAACATTCAACTATTACAGAACACATAAATACTTTCGAGGTAAATAAATCCAATACCAATCAAATATTTATGATTCTGTTTATTTCGGTCACATTTTTACTAATATTTTATTGATTAATAATGATCATGTTTGCACTAATAAAATAATAAGTGAATATTATTTACTTTCCTTCTACACGAATTATGATTTGTATCTTTTTCTTCTAATCATAATGTGCTTTAGATTTCTATATTTTTTTGTTATATATAATTATATTCGTGATCAATTTCTGTGATTAATCAAATAAAGAACAAATAATGTACGTTTTATTTACTTTTGAATAAGATAAGTTTTGATAAAATACACTCTGATATGAAATATTTGATTAAGGTGAACAAATTGTTTATATATTTTTTTATTATTATTATCGTAGACTTACAATAACTATGGAAATAAACATACTCAGACACAATCGGGTAATGCGGGTAGACATAGTCGAATACTTAAGTGACAAGATGGATTTGCAGATCAATAAAAAAAAAGTTTATTATTAGAGTAATAAAATAAGTAATTCATTTGACGTTTTAATCAATTTATTAATATTGTTCATAATAAGTATACTTATTATTAATTAAATAATTTGATTTTAAATGGTATTGTTACTAAAACAATGTTACTCGTGGACCCAAAAATGCGTTAGTCGAGGGCCCCCACACAATGTTGGTCGAGGGTCCCCTATAGTGTTAATCGAGGGCCTCAAACATTGCTAGTCTTAGGCCCCCAACAGTGTTAATCGAGGCCCCCAACAGTGTTAACCACAAATATTCTAGTCTTAGCATCCCCCCCCCAACAGTATTAAT